AGATCTTGTAATAATAATGTTATTAATGATTGCAAATTCTGAGTATGAATAACAAAAAAAATTGTGTATATAGAGCTTAGGGAAGTTCCAACTTTTTGAAAAACTTGTGGGAAAATGTAATTACATTATTTTGAAATAAATACCTAACAATATAAAATAGTAGGGAAGGAATGGAACAACTACTACTACATTAATGGTGAAAAAATCACGGAGAGAGATGGAGGAGGGACAGAGATAATTCGTTATTTTAGAATCAATATTTTTAATTTTGGTCCTTTCAAGTAATTCTAATTTTTATGGTCTTTTTTAATAAACATTTTATTCTATAGGTCTTTTATTCTAATTCTCCCTTTTTTTTTTTCCCGCGAATTTAAACCCGTCCCCCCATATGGGGACCACTCACGCATCCCATTTTGGCCACTTTGAGGGCGTAGAATCCACAATTTTGGGTGTGTTTGGATAGAAACCAAACCATGGTTTCAGAAGTATTTTTACGGATTACGAAGTAAATATGTGGAGGGGATTATCTCGTTTTGCGGAAAAGTGCTTCTGAAACCACGGTTTTGGGATACCCAAACAGGCCCTTTATGTGAGAGGAGGTGTGGGGTGTTATCAAATTAAGAGATTCTTGACGGTTTAACTCTACTTGTAATTTTAAACCACTTAATGTTTATCTCTTTAATTATAAGAATTAAATAAAAAGTATAGGTATTACACATTCCCATATGCTACCATATAATATGTTCATAGTAATAATAATAAGAAGTTTATATATATTTTTAATTAAGTAATGCAATATGCCAATATCTAAAAACTCACTATCAATGTGCCCTACTAGCCGAGACAACTTCGACGGTTCCAAGGTTAATCAGAGAGGGCAATGGCTCACGCTGCAGTGTCTCGTCGTGGTCGGCCTCCCATTAAAGAGCTGCTTTGTCCTATTCCTCCCCTTCTTTTATTCCTCTAGTAGTACATCATTAATTCATAGTTAATTAACCTCCAACAAGTCAAGTACCAACTTGCTTCACTGCTTCAAATACCAAAATTTCTTGATTTCTCGAGTTCACTCCCATGGCTTCCTCGACTCTCAAACTCTTCCTCCTTCTCTTCCCAATCTTCCTCACACAGACCTGGGCCTCTCCTACAACAACACTTCACCCAAATCTCACTTCCATTAGATCTTTCTGCAGAACCACTCCATACCCAGAAGCTTGCTTCGATTCTTTGAAGCTCGGCATTTCAATCAGCATTAGCCCAAACATCCTCAACTATCTGCTTCAGTCTCTGCAAGTTGCCATCTCCGAAGCCACCCAGCTCTCGGATCTATTCCACAATGCAGGAGGCGGTTCTGGTTTGAACCTCGTGGAGAAGCAGAAAGGGTCAATTCAAGACTGTAGGGAGCTTCATCTTTCAACATTGACTTCCCTCAAAAGATCACTCTCTGGAGTTCGTAATTCGCCAACTTCTTCCCGGAAGCTCGCCGATGCTAGGGCCTACCTCAGCGCCGCCATGACCAACAAGAACACTTGCTTGGAAGGTCTCGACTCTGCTTCCGGCTCTCTCAAGCCTGTTCTCGTGGACTCTACCATTAAAACTTACAAACATGTCAGCAACTCTCTGTCCATGCTCCCTAAGCCAGGTGATCCACAATCTCACACAGTGAGTATGATTGTCTAAGTCCGATAATCTTATTCTGTATCATTGTCACTGTTCACCACCAGCTTTTAGAGGTTCCAGAGGCCATAAGAATAGGCGTCGTTTGCTGGGAGCTCCGGCGTGGCTGAAGAGGCGAGACCGTCGGATCTTGGATGGGGAAGAAAACAATCCAAATGAGATGCTTGTGGTGGCGGCGGATGGAACTGCGAACTTCACCACCATTACTGAAGCTGTGAACTATGCTCCCAGTAATAGCTTGTACAGGACAGTGATATATGTGAAGGCAGGGGTTTACGAGGAAAATGTGGAGATCCCAAGTGACAAGACCAACATTGTTCTGCTTGGAGATGGAAGCGATGTCACCCTCGTTACTGGTTACAGAAGCGTGGGCGATGGGTGGACCACCTTCAGATCTGCAACTTTAGGTAAACACTTCAGAGTTTACAATTTAGATTCCTTATTAATTTCGCCCCGTACTTTCTTTTCTTTTTTCATTTTTTTCTCCAACTCTGTCCTTAGTTTCTGAGCCGACCCTTTTTCAGAAGAATCACGGGGGTCATTATCTATCTGATTATCCATTAAGTATATTAGATTGTTCGTCTTTATTTTATTAGTTGGAGCCTTGCAAGTTTTCATAAAACAGAGAAAGAGAAAGAAGATGACATTTAAGGGTACTTTGCGACCCCATCATTCTCATGAACAGTGACGACACCATGAAAACCCAGACTTTTCTTGCAGAACGCTAGGAGGCATCACGATACTCGTTTGATAAACTGCCACTATCGTACAGAGATGGCATTAATTATTCTTAAAGCCTAATACCTATCAGGGGATTTTGCTTTTAGTATCTGAGCTCAAATCCTAATCAATGAAAGGCATACCAACGTTAAACAAGTGAGAGCCGATTCATCAACACAACAGTGCTAGTTTTCTTAATTTCATGTCATATACTCCTCCGGTCCTTATTATAAGACCCAATTTGACTTTTTATTTGATCCTAATTATAAGACCCAATTCATTTTGTCTCTTATATTTATGCATTTTTTTCCAAGATAATCCTTCTAATAATTATAGTTTTAGCTAATATACTTAATTAGCAAGGATATTTTAGGAATGACAACACTTATTTATTATAAATAACCAACTTAACTTACTTCCTTAATCTCCTCAAATAAGTCAATTGGGTCTTATAATTAGGACCGGAGGAGTACTTAAGATGGGCATATTTTGAATTATCTAAACAAGTGAGATCATTTTGTCTTCAGCTGTGTCCGGTGATGGCTTTCTGGCACGAGACATAGCGATAGAAAATAGCGCAGGGCCGGAGAAGCACCAGGCAGTAGCGTTAAGAGTAAACGCAGACTTAACCACGCTGTACAGATGCGCCGTTTATGGCTACCAAGACACCCTCTACGTCCATTCCTTCCGACAGTTCTACCGAGAATGCGACATCTACGGCACCATAGACTTCATCTTCGGAAACGCCGCCGTCGTTTTCCAAGCCTGCGACATCGTTTCGAGAAAGCCAATGCCTCACCAGTTCACCGTCATCACAGCTCAATCACGAGACTCACCGGACGAGGACACCGGAATCTCAATCCAGAATTGCTCCGTCATTGCCACCGAAGACCTCTATACTAACTCTAGCAGCTCCAAGAGCTACCTCGGACGCCCGTGGAGGCCTTATTCTCGGACAGTGTACCTTGAGTCTTATATCGATGATTTCGTGGACCCAGAGGGGTGGACGGACTGGTCTGATGCCGATGGCGATGATTTGGAGACTCTGTACTATGGAGAGTATAATAATTATGGGCCGGGTTCGGGTACGGGTGGCAGGGTGAATTGGGTTGGGTACCATGTGATGGGCTATGAGGAGGCTTATAACTTTACGGTTTCTCAGTTCATTATGGGTGACGCTTGGCTTCAGTCAACTTCGGTCCCTTATGATGCTGGGATTTGACCCTATATACCAGTTAGATTGGCTGGTAATTTGGTGATATATTAATGTTCTCGTCGTGGCCTGGAGAGGCTGCTTTTGAGTGGCACTATATATTGCAGAATAAAAGAGGAAAATTTGATAATTTATAGGAACATTGCAAGATTAAAATTCCTTTAATTAATTAGTTTGAAACATGGCCACATTCACAATTCACATGGATGACCAAGTATACAAAAAATTGTCCTTTGTTTTTAACTTGTTCAAATTAAATTAAATTCAAGAGACGACTCTAACACATTCCAGATATAATAACGATATAATATAATTAGCACGATATTGATAATATAATTTGAGCAGTGCAGCAATTAATTAGCATCTTTTATGCAGTGCATGCACCTCTTTACATATATATATATTTATATATGACTGTCTATTTGAAATGACTCATCTATATACCTCATACATTTTGTATATTTATATTTATATATATTTAAATACAAAAGGCAAGAATAAACTTATGTCACGTTATACTGACGTTATATGTCATGAGAATGGATCTTCGAACAATCCAGAGCGAGAAATTTGGTACATATTTATAGGGAAAGCTGAGCCAGATCCATGAACATTCATGTGGCGTGATTTATGATATGATGATTTTAAATAATTACAGTTTTTATAATTTTCTCCATCCAGTTCTTTCTCTCTAATTTTCCCACACATATACTTAGATAATGTTTGTCCACATAGTACAATAATGAACGAAACAAATAGTCCTGTTTCAAACACAGATCTAAGAAAGATAATTGGTTGATAGCCGAAACACATTTGCCTAACGACGACTGGGCATAGGAATGTAATTAAGAGAAAGAAGGTCCTTGCTGATGGATCATTTTAAGGAGAAACGTACGCAACGTTGGGGGTTAACTTGCATGCTTCTTTCTATTTTCTGGTACTCCCAGTCCTAAGAAAAAGGGACGAAAAGGATTTCAAAGTTGGTTTGATCGATTAGGAAGAGAAGAGGCAGAGAAGAGAACTTAGCGAGAAACTCGAACATTGTTGGAAGACCTTAACTCACGTAGTACCACAAATAGAAATGCCTCAAATGCCTCTCGTCCGGACCACCTTAATCTCCCACCAACAAACTACCAACGTTAAAATTCCAAAGGATCAAACACCAAGAACGAAGAGGGAAAGGAATTAATTAACGTTACTAAAATTAAACGCCACCTCTCTTACCTTTCCCCGCCCTCTCTTTTCCCACCCTGTGCCTGGCTTCTTCCTAAGGCAGAGAGACTCTTCTCTGCCTTAGATAGATCGTTCTCTTTTTTTCTTTTTTCTTTTTCTTTTTCTTCCTCCTCCTCTCTTCTTCTTCCTCTTCCTCTTTTATTATTTTAGTTTCCATACCATGGCGTTTCAAGACTTCGATCTCATCACCGAGAAAAGAAAAAATGACAGGAAACAGAAGCTCAAGCGCAGAATCGCCATAGGCGCAGTTTGCACCATCGTCGTCATTGGTCTTATAGGAGCAGCCGCTTTCGTAATCGTCAGCAATAACACTGAAGAAGAGAGCGAAGTCAATGACCATAACAAGAAATCCCCATCATCTTCTTCCCCAACGAGTTCACACAGTAGCTCCGGCGAGATTTCTGTGGCAGAGAAACTCGTGAAGGCCATTTGCAGTTCCACCGACTATCAGGACAAATGTGAGACAAGTCTCACCAAGGAAGTTAAAAAGGATCCGAAACTAGCACAACCAAAAGACGTCCTTAAGCTTGCCATTAGTGTCGCTCAGGACGAGGTCAATAAGGCCATAAATAAAACCAAAGACCTCAACTTTCAAACCGACAAAGAGAAAGGGGCTTACGAGGATTGCAAGAAACTTTTGGATCGCGCGAAAGACGATCTAGCGAATTCATCTTCACATGTTGGATCAGTTGACGTGAACAAGCTGACGTCCTCCTCTTCGGATTTGAACAGTTGGCTAAGTGCGGTTATCTCGTTCCAGGGAGCCTGCCTCGATGGGTTTTTTGAAGGGAAACTGAAGACAGAAATGCAGAGTGCATTTCAGGATTCAACGGAGTATGTTAGCAATACTCTTGCCATTCTATCGCAGTTAGGCTCCGTGGTTTCTTCGGCACTAAAGGAAGGTGCTAGCCGTCACTTGTTGTCGTCCGATGATCATAAAGGTCTTCCAGAGTGGATGAACGATGAAGATCGAAGGATGTTGAAGGCAGCAGATGATAAACCTACACCTAACGTCACCGTGGCCAGCGATGGCAGTGGAGACTTCAAAACCATCTCTGAAGCTCTAAAAGCTATACCACAAAAATACGATGGACGGTATATATATATATACACACACATGCATGCACTTATAGCTTCGTCATGCTAATGAATGAATCCGCGTTAACTATATTGAACTATACATACATATATTGAATCCATGAGAGTGTGTGAGAGAGAGAACGCAATCTGCTGGAAATTTACTGCACAATTTGTGCTATGGTTATTGGTTGCTCACGTAAGGCTTCTTATTTGCACTGCGAAAATGTAGGTATGTGGTTTATGTTAAAGCAGGAACATATGATGAGACTGTACTGATAGAAGGGCGAATGGTAAACCTAACCCTTTACGGTGATGGATCGCAAAAAAGCATTATCACCGGCAACAAGAACTTCGTAGATGGAGTAAGGACCTTCCAAACTGCATCATTTGGTAAGATTTCGAAAACCTTGTATCTCAGAACCTCATGATTTTATACTTAGTTGCTGGGAAATAGGTATTGCAATCCATTACATCGGTTAATGTATATAGGCTAAATTTGCATTTGGTGATGATACTGCAGCGGTAGAAGCAGATGGATTTTTAGGAAAAGCAATGGGATTCAGAAATACAGCAGGTCCAGAGAAGCACCAGGCCGTAGCAGCAAGAGTGCAAGGAGATCGTGCGGTATTTGTGAACTGTCGTTTCGAAGGGTACCAAGACACCCTCTACGCCCTAGCCCACAGGCAATTCTACCGGAGCTGTGTGATCTCCGGCACCGTGGACTTCATCTTCGGCGATGCAGCCGCCATCTTCCAAAACTGCATAATGAACATAAGGAAACCCTTAGACAACCAGCAAAACATAGTGACAGCTCAAGGCAGAATGGACCCACGAGAAACCACTGCCATTGTTTTGCAAAGCTGCCAGATCAAGGCCGACGATTCACTTGCCTCCGTGAAAGACAAGTTCAAGAGCTACCTTGGCCGGCCATGGAAGGAGTACTCGAGAACCATTGTCATGGAATCTGAGATCGACGACGTCATCGCCCCTGAAGGGTGGATGGAATGGGAAGGAGATTTTGCACTCAAAACTTTGTTCTATGCTGAGTACAACAATACTGGAGCAGGTTCGAATACTGATAATAGAGTGAAGTGGCCCGGCTACAAGAAGATCACAAGGGAAGAGGCTAGCAACTTCACCGTGGACTCTTTCTTGGCTGGTAATTGGATCTCTGCTATCAACGTACCAGTTCAACGAGGTTTGTATAACTGAGTAGCATAAACCGATGGTGCAGTACACTGTACTACGGTGGTGGGGTCTAGTCTGGTTCTTATGTACGTGCGTGCTCAATCCATCCATCGGCACTACTAGCCATTATTTGCTGTTTCGATCGCCATTTTGATAAATGTGCAAATTGTTATGTTGAAGTATGTTCCTGCATGTGATGGTTGAGTCGAAAAATTTTGCGTTACGTTCACCAAAACGATTCAAGGTAACTTCAATAATACGAACAGTTCTTATGTTTCTCGTTGATTAGTTTGATCCATGGAGTACGATCTCTGCCAAAGTATCAGTTGTCGCCTGTCTCTCGTTGAAGATGAATCCAATTAACAAACGTTATCATTGCACTTCAATTTCATTGAGTTTGTAAGTGCGAAATTTTGTTTCTTTATAGTTTCTCTTTTTAAAACGGTTGTCGTTCGCTTGGCCCAATAATGCGGACAAATGGACGTGGTGACGTACGCCAAAATTTACACTAGTTGTGCCAGCATACAACTCTCGGGTTTGTTTTTAGCCCTTCATCCTGTTCTCTTCTAATGGGACACTCGTAAACATATTATTCGGTGGAAGGGTCAAAAGGATCATAGTGAAGCTGCAAAAGGATTCTTCTGATTCTTCTTCTTCTTCTTCTTTTTTTTTTCAATCAAAGCTGTCAACTGATTCTGGTTAAAAAAAGAAAAGAAAGCTGAATAATGAAAAACCTCGCCCTCCAAATAAGTATATATGAAAATAAAACGCACCAGCTTGGGCCAACTTATCTGAGATTGTAGTGTGGGCTAAAGCGGGTATGAAACGCTCGCTTGCGGCCTTGCACGAAGTTCAATCTTCTTCAATAAGCGGGCGCTGTGGGTAACTTGTAAGGCCTTCCCTATTGCTAATGATCGTGGACCCAACTGATCAACCAACGCACTCCAAAAAAAAAAAAAAAGCTTCTTCGGTAAGCTTTGTTTGAACTGGAAGCCAAATATTTTGGCGCCGGTTGTGCGCTTTTGAAAAGACGGCATTTCCCCTCTTCTTTCCTCCATCGATGTGCATTCGGTCTTTCTTCCACTTTGCACAATTCGTGAGCTGCGTCTTCCTCTCAGTCTCATTCTCTTCTCTTTGCTTCTCTCTCTAAAGAGCTCGGGAAGAGTTTGAGTCTTGGTCAGAAATGGAGCAGCAAAGGCACCAAAAGGAGGCCCAACGGGAGGAAGCAGCTGAAGAGTTACAACATGGCCCTTTATCCGTTGAAGAGCTTCAGGTGATCGACATATTCAAAACGTAATGAATCTTAGCTCTTTTTTTAAAAAAAGAAAATAAATTAAGAATCAAGAATGCCTTTTGCCTAAATTGATACCTCAATTCCCAACTAATAATAATACCCACATGAGAGTCTTCGGTATATAAGGTGTTCTTGTTAGCAACATTAGGGTTCTTGGTTATCTTTTCTGTTCGTCTTGCCATCTCTATGAGGTCTCTCGAAAAAATTTTCTTTTTTGGTTTCTAAGGTCCGATTTGTTCTATTACTGTCATGAGCTTTCTTCTCTCATACCATCTTCTATTGCGGAATAACCGTGTTGCCTTGATCATGGTTAAATAGCCGTTCTCCCCTTATTAAAAAGAAAAAAAAAATCCTCGTGATGCAAATTTGTTCCGCTCCGATTTGACAGTTTTCCTTTTAATCGTAATCTTAGGCATCGGGCATATCTGCTACCGACGTCAAGAAACTTAAAGATGCCGGTCTTTGTACGGTTGAATCTGTGGCTTTCTCTCCTAGAAAGGACCTTCTGCAGATTAAAGGAATCAGTGACGCTAAAGTTGATAAGATCATTGAAGCAGGCATGCATCCCCGATTTGATTCCTTCGATAACTCCTTCCAATATTGGCCCTTATATGTTTGTTCTCTCATTTTTGTTGACAGCTTCTAAATTGGTGCCGTTGGGTTTCACTAGTGCTGCCCAACTTCATTCCCAGAGGCTTGCAATTATTCAAATAACATCAGGATCAGAAGAGCTAGACAAGATACTGGAAGGTAGGAGTAAGACATGTTAAAAATTGAATTTATTCGATCAGCTTCACTAGTTTGTTGATAAATTCACGTTTTTCATTGTTAATGGATCATGACCTTACGCCGCTGTTTCTTCCAGGAGGGATAGAGACAGGATCTATAACTGAGCTATATGGTGAATTTCGATCAGGGAAGACTCAGTTGTGTCATACTCTGTGTGTCACTTGCCAAGTAAGTGCTTTTTCATTTTGGTATTAGCTGTCATGCAAGTGCGTCGTGAATAAGTAGTCTTAACATAATTTAGGAGGACACATATAGACATTGCGTCATACTTTGTTTTTATATTTTGACTTAAACAAGGGGGAAATGAAATATCATGTTGCAAACTAGAAAATGAAAATTAGCAATGTAATTCAGTCATTGCATTACCCTAAATATCATTTGTTTTCTTGACATTTCAGTTGCCACTTGATCAAGGAGGTGCTGAGGGCAAAGCAATGTACATTGATGCAGAGGGTACATTTAGACCACAGCGACTCTTACAAATAGCAGACAGGTATAGCATTTTTTTTGACACGTAATGCCTACTTCATGTGGGATGCACCCAATACTGATGTCACATTGATGCTGATTGATGCAGGTTTGGACTAAATGGAGCTGATGTATTGGAAAATGTTGCCTATGCTAGAGCATATAACACTGATCATCAATCACGACTTCTGCTTGAAGCTGCTTCAATGATGGTGGAAACAAGGTGTGACCTGCAGTTTTGGGGGGGTCTGGTTTCAAGTATTGTAGTGCTTAAATGAGAGTAGCTTTTTCAATACGTTGAGCAAAGATACAGAAGTTAAATACAGAATAAATATCGTTGGTGACA